GGGCTCAGGATTCAAACCAGTGGGGGAGTCTGGGGACTTCTTCTCTAGGGACCAGGCCCAGATATTGGGGGGCATCAGACTTAGATGATCTGACCCTTCCCTATACTCTTATCTATAGAGATACCAGGGCTCATAGGGGTTATGTTTTGTCCAAAGCCATAGACTCAATAGTTCAGAATAAGAGGCACATGTCTTCTCTGACTGAATTTCATGTGTTAATGACAGACACCAGTGCTGATGTGCTAATATGACTGTCTGCTCTGAACCTAACCTCATGGAACAAAGAAAGTGTCACTGGGCTAATAGAAGGGAACACATTGTCAGACATGTTATCCATCCTATGCTGCAGCAGAGGCTGCTGGCTTAGATATATTTAAATGCATGAAAACTCATTTTGTCTTATTTTGTAAAGGCTAATGCCCTCCTTAATTTTTTAGGTAAAACTATTTATTCTTTTTTGAATTAAATTTACTGGGGTGACAATGGTTAATAACATGATATAGGTTTCTGGTGTACAATTCCATGATACCTCACCTGTATATTGCATTGGGTGCCCTGCCAAAGTCTAATCTCCTTCTGTCACCAAAGGTTTGACCCCATTTGCACTTTACTGGCCCCTCTCAGTCAATCTTTTTGGTAAACACCATAGTGTTGTCTGTCTCAGTGAGTTTTTGTAAAATGATTCTTTTGTAGGAATTTGGTGCTCTGTGGGAGTGTGAGGTTGGCTCTTGTGGGTGGGCCTGGAGCATGCTCTCAGGCAGAGGTGGTCTCAGGATCTGTTGTGCTCACACCAGCTGGCAATCTGCCCCTTCCCCTTAAGAATCCATGAGCCCTTCATTTTCTTTGTCTCTCAAAAAGAAAGACGTTTTGGGTTTTTTGGGGGGTTGTAAAATTTTTGATGACTGTTAAATTCTTCTGTAAAGGGCCTGAGTCCAGAAAGGGTAAAGAGGATGGAGAGGGGGTGGATCTAGAGTCTGGAATCCTGGGCAGGGAGACATCACTGAGAAACAGGGTCATGCAGAGTTTAAAGGTTTCTGAGAAAACCACCAGTACACTCATCAGCAGCCTCTGTGGTCATCCAGGACCAGATGAGTGGGTGGGGGTGGGAAGGATTACTCTAATAAACACAAGCTCATGCAGAAGGGGAAACCTCTGGGATGCTGAGAGGATGGAACAGGAGGAGGGCAGGAGAAAAGGTGGAGGAAGGAGCAAGGTGTTGTGTGAGATTCCTAGGGCTGACGTAGCACAGTACCACAAACAGTATAGCTTAAAGCCACAGAAACGTATGGCCCCATAGTTCTAGGGGTCCAGCATCCAAAGGTTGGCAGAGCCATGGTCTCCCTGTAGGGGTTAGGGGGATCCTCCCTTGCTGGTAGCCAGGTCCTTGTGTTGCTGGCAATCGTTGGAGGTCCTTGGCTGGTGGAATCATAACTCTGATCTCTTGCCTTTTGCATTTTATAAGGAGAAACCAGGCTGTGCCCCCACAATGTGCTTGGAAACCTCCGCAGCTAAAGACTCAAGTTCATCACTTACAAGCTCTTCTTTCCACCCAGCAGTAGAATCAAATTCAGCATCTTTCCCCCACTTTGTATCAAGTATCACCTTTCTTCCAGTGTCATTACCAAGGTCCTCACTTTGATCTGAGATCTCACCTTTAATATTCAAATTCCCATCAATAGTTTCTTTAAGGAAAATCTAAAATTTCTGTATCAGGTCCCTCAGCATTCTCCCAGCTTCTGTGCATTACCCTCAATTCCATTACCACTTACACATTTTAAGTATTTTTTAACAACAGCACCCCATGCTTTTGTACCAACACTAAGCCTATGAAGCAAATATTCCAGTTTAAAGACTATGAAATTGAGTTGCAGAGAGGATAATGTATCCACATGTGGTATCCTGAAAATTACCCCCTTCAAGATTGCCATTCTAATCCTCAGAACCTATGAATATTATCTTATTGCAAATGTGATGAAGTTAATTATTTTGAGATGAGGAGATTGTCTATCTGCGTGGGTACTACATGTAATCACAAAGGTCCCTAGAAGATGGAGGCAAGAAGATCAAAGGAGGAAGAAGGCAATGTGATGATGGCAGCAGAGATTAGAGTGATGTGGGCACAAGCTATGGATTCTGGAAGCTTCTAGCAGCTAGAAGAGGCAAGAGATGGATTGTCTACTAGAGCCTTCAGAAAGATAAGCCCTAATAATACCATCATTTTATCTCCATAAGACTAATTTCAGGCTCCTGACCTCCAGAACTCTAAGAGAATTCATTAGTATTGCCTCAGGCCACTACATTTTTTAATTTGTTATGGCAGCAATAGGCATCTTGTATACCAAGTTCAATTGTTGATTTGTGGGAGAGTCAGCACAGTATGAGGAGTCTATTATCTTCATCTCCTGTTATCACTTTTGCAATGTTGTAATAAGTTTGAGCTTTGAATTTATCTGAATCTTAGCAGCTGAGCTCCACAAGGCACTCTGGTAAAAGTTAAAGAGATGTGTTTTTTTAAATAACCCACAACCTTTGGAAAAATCCACATACATCCACATTGCCATGTGTGTATGATGTGAAGAATAAAGTGGTAAAAAGAATAAATGGAAAATGTAACAACGGAAGCTGTGGTTTTCTCCCCATTCATCTTTTTGCGTCTGACTATGTAGAAGGAGCAGCATCCTGGGACGGGGGAGAGCACCTTCATGGAGTTGCAGGTGGTGACCCACAGCAGAGAGCCAGGTGGCTCACAGCAGAGCTGGGTGTGGAAAGGAGCTCCTAATGATGCAGAGCATGGCCAGGTGAACAGTGCAGGAGAAATACGAGGCAATGCTCCTATCACAAGTCTTCTAGAGGGAGATCACTCTTAAGTTAGGGTTCAGGGGTGGTGGGATTGTCTTTCATATGCTCCTCTGTGGCCAATGACCTCAAGCCTGTTACCATTCAAGACCTGTATCCTGCACCCTGTGGATTCTTTTTTTTAAATTGATTTTAGAGTGGGAAGAAGGGAGAAGGGAGAGAGAGAGAGACATTGATGTGAGAGAGACACATTGGTAAGTTGTCTCCGATACAGCTTGACCAGGGATTGAAACTGAGACCTTCTGGTTCTTGGGACAGTGCTCCAACCCACTGAGCCACAGCGAGTTCTATCTCAAACACTTCCCTCCTCCCTCTAAGGAACTTAACAGTGTACCTGGGGAAATACCTGGAGAAGCAGTTGGTTGACCAGGAAAACACCCAAAGCAGCTCCTGGCAAGACAAGTTTCATTCAAGGAATGTGGACAGTGAAGTGACACTGGGCAATGGTGGAGATATTTGGGGCAGGAGATGTGGTTCTGGCTCTGCTCTCCACTCATATATGCAGCCTGTCAAGGTGAGTTTCCTGAGTGTGTGACCTGTAGAGCTGCACAAGGCCTAGTGATTAGAGGGGACCCTCATGTGGTTTAATGCTTTGTAATATCATCTTGAAATGCTTCACGATTTTTCAACAAAGGACCTGTTATTTTCTATTTGTGCGAGTCCTGGCAAATTACATAGTTGGTCCTGATCTCTGTCTTTATTGGAAGTCAAAAAACTGTCACCTTGGGCCCTTCAATGTAACCAAAGTCATTAACACCAATAATTGGTCCAAGGATATGGTCATTAACACCATAGTTTCCAAAGCCAGCTGCTTCCCTCCATTGGTAACCACCCTATTTTTCACTACTTCCTGCCACATATGGTCCTCTTAGTACCTATCCTGATGCTGAAACATCGACTGATCAAATTTCTCAACCTAGTGAACAAAATCTATATATATATAATGCTAAGCAGCCATGCAATCATCCAACCGGCCAGAGGGTATTACGTGCACTATCCACCAGGGGGAAGACGTTCAGCAGAGGAGCTGCTGAACTGCCATGACTTGGCAGCTGCAGTTCTTGGGTGACACAACCTGGAACCAGAGAGGAAGGAGCTCTCACACTCCAGGACCCCTCGGGGGATGACAGAGAGCTGGTTTAAGCCCATCCCTGCAGGACAGTCCCAGAGACTCCACCTGTAGGATGGATCCCACTCACTCTGCAGATGCCATTCGAGCTCATGGTGCAGCCCCAGGTGTGGGCAGGAGGGGAGGGACCATGGGAGGTTGGCTCCAGGACATGTCTGCCTGTCCAACCCAGTCCTGCCTTGCCGGCCACCTTCTAAATAATATCCTTTCAACGTGCACGAATCTGTGCACTGGGTCACTAGTATATAATAAAAACTCAGTATTTTTATGGTGATGGTTCATGGTTCATGGTTCACTAGAAAATCTTGTGAACCATGAGAGCTTTGGCAGCCTGTATCTCACCTAAAAACAATTTTCAGAGCCTAGTGGATCCATCCACTGGTAAATCTAGAGTAAGCTGACTCTGTCTGGTTCTGGGGTGAGAGAAGGTAGGAAGATTAGGAGGGAAAGTTGCATTTATTCCTCAGGTGCATGTTTAGTTGTCAGGTCATACAAACTTTCAATCTTGCAAGACCCATATGAAAAAAAAACAAAAAACAGAGAGCGTGCATGTTTACTGGAGAATATTTTTCCAGGCCTCCTCTTCTCTTTTCTCCATGGCTCCCAGTGGTTTAGACTACTTTGGCTTTGTAACTGAGTCCTGTTAATTTCTAAATGATTAACATGAGACCCTCCTGAAAGAATAGACCCAAAACCCATATTGTACCATCCCTTGTGAACACCTGAGGAATCACGAAGTCACATACCCAACTTCCTTCTTCCAGAATGACCCCACAGTCTCCCACTACACCAGGGAAGATGACAGACACTGTGCCTGGCTTTCTGGGCAAGATTTAGGTCATTTAATAATGGCCTTTTGGATCCACCATTATAACCCAAATACCGAATATAGCTTTGGAAATTTGGGTGTGAGATTGGGCACAAGGAGAAAAAGGTTTCAATTTGGCAAATCTGAAGCACCCACCAAATTAGGGGCAATATGACTGTCTTTTTAAAGGCAAACAGTTCCTCTACTGACTCCACCCCATCTGTGCTTCCTGGCTCAGCGGGTTAAAAGGACGAAAACACTTTATCCTCACAGTCAAAGCAAAAGCCCACACTAAAGGAGATTCTTTGGAGAAAACCTGAGAGCTCATCAACTCGTGGTAAAGAAGGTGAGTCTAGCTGAGAAGGGGTCCTGAGTGGCAGAGCTATGAGGGCCGTAGGTTCAGGGAGTGTGCAGAGCATGGGTTCTGGCTCACGAGAGACCTGGTTCTGTGCCAGCAGCACAGTGGGGGGTGGAGTGCTTTCAGAGGGTAGTGGCACATGGTAGAGCGGGGAGTCAGGAGCTTTATTAGCACAATGTTACATGTCTCATTTAAACAAGACACATTTGTGCTTACTTGTGCACCTTCATGCATTTGCTGCTGTGATAGACACTGAGGGCTGCCTGATAAGCCCTCCTCTTCCCTGGATAGGAAATGAGTGCCCCCAAGGCAGTTCTTTAGAGCTCAAAGGCAATTTGGAGACAACCCTGTCTAACTCCCTCTTTTTACTGAAAAAGAAGCGGGATCCCAGGGTGTTATGACTCTAGGGGTTGCCCACATCACTAAGGGCAGAGAAAATCTAAACTGCAGGTTGCTGAATCCTTCCCATCATTTAGTAGAAACTGTGACCCCATTAGTGTGACATGCGAGGTGAGGAGGGGGTGTTGTGAGGAGAGGGTTGGCTATTCTGGAGGAACAATGTATGTGAAACCCTCCTGTTAACTTCCCTGTTACAGGCTTCCTGCCAGTTCTCCATTCTGTAAAGAGTGTGGACTTCCTTCCCTGTCCTCTCTTGATCTAACTCTCACTCTATGGGATTTTAGAATCATGGGCCTGAGAAGAAACTAAGAAGAAGCTGTTGTGTGCAGTGGTTAGGAGGGAAGTGGTAGTCAGACAGACTTTGAATTGGATCCCTTCTCTGCCTGATAACTGTTGGCACCGTGACCGTGGCAAATGTCTAAGTATTTTGGAGCCACATCAATGTCCTTATTTTAAAAGTTAGAAAAATAAAATTAGCATTTTGGGGCAGTACATGAGATAATGTATAAGACATTTTTCAGGGTGCTTAGTATAGAATATTCGATAGTGGTTTCATTACACAGGTTAAAATTTTTATTGTGGAAAAATTTTTAACTTATTCAATGATAAAGAGACTAGTACAAGGAACTTCCATGTACCTACACCAGGCTTCAATGATTACCAATAGATGCCAATTTTGTTTCATCTATGTACTCACTACTCCCTACACACCCCACATTATTTTGAAGCATTCATCAGACATTATTTCAGTAAATATTTGAAACCATTTAAAATATTAACATAATCAGACTTCAAAAAGCAAGTAGAAATTTTAGAAAATTGCCAGTTGCATACAGATTTCTCTGATTGTCTCATAATTTAAAAAATTGTTTGAAGTCAGATCCAAATAAGATCCATAAATTGCAATTGCTTGATTTCTCTTAAATTTATCTTAATAGGTAGGTTTCCAACCTTCCCTATTACTTTCTGGGAAATTTCTCTGGTGAGAAAAGGGAAGTCTTTTATCCAACAGAACCAGGCAAGGTACATTTTGTTGATTTCATCCTCATGGTGTGATTTCACCTGCTCGTCTAGTTCTGGTGTTTTGTGTGAATTTATTTTAAAGGAGACATTTGATCAGATTCAGGTTTGACTGTTTTTTTGGTGGGAATACTTCATGGGTGCAGCTGTCAACTTCCATCAGAAGGCTTGATCCTTTCCCTTTTTTTGTCTATGTTCAGAACAATGAAATGCTTTCCTCGCAGGTTCCCAATGGGGTTATGGACTACTTTTAAGAAGAAGGCCTTGCCCTGACCGGTTTGGCTCAGTGGATAGAGCATCGGCCTGCGGACTCAAAGGGACCAGGGTCGATTCCGGTCAAGGGCATGTACTTTGGTTGCGGGCACATCCCCAGTAAGGGGTGTGCAGGAGGCAGCTGATCGATGTTTCTCTCTCATCGATGTTTCTAACTCTCTATCCCTCTCCTTTCCTCACTGTAAAAAATCAATAAAATATATTTAAAAAAAGAAGAAGAAGGCCTTTCTATGAACTCATGGATTTCAACATATTTGATACATTTGATTCATTGGAATTATTATTGATACTCAAATTGTCCCATCTTTGTCCAGTTGGATTCTCTTGAAGTTGACTCATAAGTCCTTTTGATAATTTCCTAGAGATTTTTTAGAGCATCCTGGCTTTCTAGTTGACAAGAGAAATTGTCAACTCAGATATTTCCTGCCTACTCCTAAAATCAATACTTGCTCCTTAGAACCCTAATTGTTTGGTGGGAAATGAATGGCATTTGAAGACTACACTCTGGTCACTAAGGGTGCTCTCTGTCACTGGGCTCATCATTAACTCTATGCCTTTTCAATGGACTTCAAAAGTACACACACACACACACACACACGCACACACACAAACACACAAAACACTAAAAATAGGATTTTTTTGGAAAAATTTTTTAATTCAGGTTTTGAATTTTTTGGGGGGCGGTTGGGGGGGCCTTAGTACAATCCTTCTAGATATGGACAATGAAATTATTGCATTTTCAAGTTACTTAGACCAATTTCTTATGTGGTTTATCCACCATATAAAATGCAATTAGATTTGTTTCATTTGCTTTCAATATCTTAAAACATAACTTTTGTTGTATAATTATGTAAACTACCTACATGATTTCAAGATCAAAGCTATGAAATCTTAGTGTAACAAAGACATCTAGTTTCCAGCTTCTGTCCCTGTCACCTCTACCCTGCTTCTCCCATTCTCATGTAAATAATGTTTTGTTGGTTTAGTTTTCAGAGTATCCTATTACCTTTTCATATATATGAAAAAAATATATTATGTTTTATATATGTAATTCATATTCCTCTTATTAGAGAAATGGTAAGTAAATTCTACATTATTTTCTTCACTTTGTTTTTTTGTTTTGCTTTGTTTCACTTAATGATACATCCTGTAGATCTCTCCATGCTGGTACATAGAGACACATCTCACTCCTTTTCACAGTTGGATAGTACTTCACTGTAATATATGTGAATATACCTTAGTTTATTCCTACAAATGGCCATTTTATAGGTTTTTGGCTTTTTGCTTTTACAAAGCATGAAGCAATAAATAGGTTTATGCATTTTTTATATACTTTTGTCAGTGTAGTTTAGGAAGAATCCTAAAATTGGAAATTGATAATCAAAGGGAAAATGCCTATTTACTTTTGCAGCACAGTGCTAACTTCTCTGTAGAGTTTGTACTGTTTTTCCATTCTCACCAGCCATGCAGGAGAGGCCCTGCTTTTGCCATACCTTTACCTACAGATTAGGCCAGCAAATGTTTGGATTGTTGCCAAACCTGGAGGTGAGAAATAGTATCTCACCTCATAAATAGAGTTGTAATTTTAATTTATTTTACTTTTTGTGCTTTAATTTATTTTCCCTATTATGAGTGTATGTTAATATATTTTGATATATTCAAGACACACTTTAATTTCTTTTTCTATGGGTGTTTATTCCTATATCTTGGTCCATTTTCTATTGAGTTGTAGGGTTTTTGTTTCTGTCCTTCTTAAATTTTTTAAATTTTATTTTATTTTTTAAAGTATTACAAATAGTAGTACATATGTCTTCTTCTTTTCCCCATTGACCTTCCCCTGGCCTCCCCTACCCTGGCACAAGCTCTTACCCAAACCCTCAGTGTCTTGTGTCCACTTGCTATGTTTATATGCATGCATATAAGTCCTTCGATTGATCTTTTACACCTATAACAGAAATATTTACCCCTTTAATATAAGTTGGAAAATGTTTCTTTCCCTGGTGTGGCATTTTTGCTTATTTTGTCTATGATTTTTTTGTCCTACATTATGTGTGAGATTTTCATGTAATCATACTTATTAATCCTTTTCCTTATTCTTTTTCAAATCTTATAAATATTTTCTCTATTTTACAAAAAAAAATTACCCATGTTTTTTTCTATTATTTATATAGATTAGTTTTTTACATTTAAACTTCTAATCGATCTGGAGTTTGAATGGCATGAGTGAATAAATGTAGTTTTATCTTTTTCCAAATGGTTTACAGTTACCCCAAAGTTGCTTTATTAGTCCATCTTCCTCCTATTGATGTGAGATGCTGCCTTACTGAATCTAACTGTAACATAATGGAATGGAATATAAATGAATAGAGTCTGATTAATTTGGTCTATTTCTTAATTTTCTGCTTTTATTTCACTGTTCTCTCTATCCATGAACCAACATCATACTGCTTTAATCATAGAAACTATGATGCTTGACTCCAGAAAGAGCTAGTCCTCCCTTCTTGTTGTTTTTTTTTTTAATATATTTTTATTGATTTCAGAGAAGAAGGGAGAGGGAGTGAGAGATAGAAATATCAATGATGAGAGAGAATCCTTGATCAGCTGCTTTCTGTATGCCCCTCACTGGGGATTGAACCTGCAACCCAGGCATGTGCCCTGACCGGGATTCGAACTGTGGCCTCCTGGATCATAGGTTGATGCTCAACCACTGAGCCACGCCAGGGGCTGTTTTTCTTAATAGGTACAGATAACTTTCTTTTTTATTCATCCAAATGAACCTTATAATCCATTATTTGAAGTTTATAATGTGATACTTAACTTTATAAGCCACTGTTTGTCACTTGCATGAAAAAAGATGCAGACCCAAAAAATTAACTTTAGTTATATAAAATCATGTTAGGGAAGTATCTATTTTTTTTCTTCATACAAAGACTTTATAATCCACTTTTTATCACTTATAGGGGAAAAGCTTATGATCAAAATTCCCATAATGAGTCATCCTAGTATTTCTGAAATAAATCATAAAATCATGGGGTATTACTTTTTTAGTGTCAAATAATTTATTTAAAAAGTTTGTATTAATATTTCCAAATGAGACACATCTGTAGCTTTACTTGTTGGTGAAGTCTTTGGTAGCCTTGGGATCACTATAACACTTGATTCATATAAGAATTGAAAGATTCCCCTCTTTTTTTAATAATAAAATAGCTCACATCGAATTGAGATGATCAGATCCTTAAAGCCTGAAGTGAGTTCCCCTGTGAAAGGATCTGGACCTTGTACTCTTTTGTGGGGAGACTCTGCTCTATTATTTCTTCCATAATAATTGAACTGTGTCATCTCTCCATTCTTGTAATGAGTAATAGATCATTACAAATTTTCATGGAGGAAAAGAACGAAGAAAAGGGGTTGGGAATGGTTCCCACTTAGCTAAGTTGACTTTTCTCCACTCTCCTCCCTTCATAAGGTCTTGTGGAAGCCTAAAGCACAGAACCTCTTGAAACAAACATGGCTGGTCTTCAGGACAACACTCTGAGGATTGTTCTGGTGGGGAAAACTGGAAGTGGGAAAAGTGCAACAGGAAACACCATCCTTGGCAGAAGAGAATTTCAATCTAAAATTGCTCCCGACGCTGTTACCAAGAAATGTCAGAAAGAAGTGCAACACTGGAAGGGGAGGAACCTTCTTGTTGTGGACACCCCAGGGCTCTTTGACACCAAGGAGAAACTGCAGACCACCTGTGAGGAAATCAGCAGGTGTGTCCTCTTCTCCTGCCCTGGGCCTCATGCCATCATACTGGTACTACAGCTGAGCCGCTACACGGAGGAGGAGCAGAGAACGGTTGCATTGATCAAGGCCATCTTTGGGGTGGCGGCCATGAAGCACATGATCTTGTTGTTCACTCGCAAAGATGATTTGGATGGTAAGACACTGAGTGACTTTTTAGACGAATCAGATGTGAACCTACAAAACATCATCCAGGAGTGTGGGTCCCGCTGCTGTGCCTTCAATAACAAGCAAAGTGCAGATGAGGCTGAGAAGGACGCTCAAATGCAGGAGCTGGTGGAGATGATAGAGAAAATGGTGCAGGAGAACAGAGGGGCTCACTTTTCTGATGACATATACAAGGACACAGATGAAAAGCTGAAACGGCAGGCAGAAGCCTTGAAGAAAATCTATGCTGAGCAATTGTATAAGGAAATTAAACTAACAGAAAAGGAATGTGATCAGGGAAAAATATCACAGGAAGAAAAAGAGAAAAAAATAAAAGTCCTAAAGATGAAGCATGAAGAACGAATTAAAGATATAAGGGAACAAGCTGAAAAGAATATATTTGCAGATATTGTACAAAGGTTTAGAAATATGCTTTCAAGTCTATGGCATAGGTTTTTCAAATAGTGTATATTTTCTTTTTTTCTTTTTAATTTGCCATGATTTGTTAATGTAGTAGATTGTATTTTCAAAAAAAAGGTTATAACAGTATCTTCTATCCAACCTATTCTTCTTATAATCTGAGCTTGCTTTTCCTTTTGTTGAGTTATATGGGTCTGTGCCACTGCCTTGCAATTCCATGGACTTTGTGACTGATTTGGCAAATAGTGGATGGCTGTGACTTCCAAAGTTAGATAGGGAGGATGCCTCCTTGCTCTCTGGGGTACATGCCCTTGTCACTTGGCCACCATGTGATGAGGAAGCCCAAGTTGTCCATCGAGTCCACATGAAGAGGACACTCCCCTGGCTGGTCTTTCATCTGCCAACAGAAACAACTTGCCAGCCATGCTAGTAGGGAAAGATGGAAGCAGATTCTCCAGCTGCCAACCGAGCCACCTCAGATGAAGCAGCAAAGAACAAGGATGGACCACCCCCACTGCATCCTGCCCAGGTTTCAAAAGAAAAATAAATGATTATTGTTGCTTTAAACCACTAGTCTTCGGGATGGTTTGTTATGCAGTGACAGCTAACCAGAAGCATCCTCCCATCATTCCCACCAATCCCCACAATGCCAACAAACTTAAAAAGCTAGAAAATGGCATAATTATAAAATAATATATTATGCAGATTTCACAGGCTCAATTTAGGACAATTCAAATGAGAAATCCTTCATATGTCAGTGTTAGCACCACTGGTGATGCACATTAGTTTAGTCCACTTCTCTGAGCCCCTTGTTAGTGTAGCAGCAGGCTTCTCCAGCAAGATGGTTCTGTTGTCCATGTGAGGCAGGATAATAAGAAGCTAGAAAAATTCCTGGGAAAGTGGGATAGGGAAACTGAGACAAGAAAATTAAATAAGATCAGTCTGTTTGGGTGTCTTGCAGCCAGCTTGTGAATCACAAAACTTTATCTTTACCACTCAAGGACACTTGAGAGCAAATGGTTTATATTCTCCTCTCTAACCAGAGGATACCTAGCTTACATCATCCTGGTCTTGGAAGTAGATAGAGCACAAAGACCCAGTTAAGGCCATTTGTGCCAGCTAAACCCAAGGGTAGAAGAAGTCAGGGAACAAATAACAAAAACCCATTAAAGCCAGACAGACCTAAGATAAAAGTAAAACAGATCAAAGAATAATTCCAAACTCCGCCATATACTCATTTTGATGCATCGGCATATTAAAAATGCACCTGGAAAGCTGATAAAAAAAACAAAAACAAAAATCAAGGGATAGGGATAGAAAACCCTCAGGACAAAAGCTCACTGCTTTATCTATAACTGGTTTGGCTCAGTTAGAGCACTGGCCTGCGGACTCAAGGGTCCCGGGTTCGATTCCGGTCAAGGGCATGTACCTTGGTTGCGGGCACATACCCAGTAGGGAGTGTGCAGGAGGCAGCTGATCGATGTTTCTCTCTCATCGATGTTTCTAACTTTCTATCCCTCTCCCTTCTTCTCTGAAAAAAATCAATAAAATATATTTTTAAAAAAATAAAAATAAAAAATAAATAAAAAAGCTCACTGTTTTAGAGCAGGCTCATGCCCCTTTCTGGGCATGAACTTTTTTAAAAAATATATTTTATTGATTTTTTACAGAGAGGAAGGGAGAGAGATAGAGAGTTAGAAACATTGATGAGAGAGAAACATCAATCAGCTGCCTCCTGCACACCCCCTACTGGGGATGTGCCTGCAACCAAGGTACATGCCCTTGACCGGAATTGAACTTGAGACCTTTCAGTCCACAGGCCGATGCTCTATCCACTGAACCAAACCAGTTAGGGCCAGGTATGAACTTTTTATTTCTTTTTAAATGCTAAGGTTCCCCATGAGAAACTTGCAGTCAGCAGAGCAGTGGGCAGTGGCAGCTGGACCCAGGCTCAGCCCTTGATCCTGTCTCCAAGGCCCCTTTTCCCTGACTTCCCAGTGAGCTGAAGCAGACCCGCCATGGCTCAGTTCTTTCCTATAACATTTCCAGAGCCAAAGCAGCCCCACATAGGTGCTCTGCTGTCGCTTCTTCTACCCTAACCCCTTCTTTTATTTCACTGACGGCAGCTTTAATAAACATACTCTCAAAATCACCTGGACTTGTGTTTTGAAATCTTTCCTGCACCAAATCAAGAACACACACTATGGGGTAAAAAGGAGGACATATCTAATACTGTCAACAATAAAGATTAATTTTTTTAAAAAAAGGGAAAGAACCCAAACACTACAGGCCAGCCTGAGGCAGATCCACTTTGGGCCGGTCCCTGTCCAGTAACACATAGACATCTGGGAGTTATGAAATTTTCTTACTGTTTTTCTCCCTCTTTCCTTTTTAAGGTACCTAACTTTAAATATCTATTAAAACATTAACTTAAGAATCTCTTCTCTGCCAAATATTTTTCCTTTGCCTCTGAAGATCCATCCTTTGCCCTCCTTCACCCTAGTTCTTTGCCCCAGGAGGCTGACCTATGTGGATCACATTGTTACCCAACCCAAAGGTTCTCCGCTTGGGGTGTTGTATTCAAGAAGGAGACATGGTTGTCCCAAGGTAGTTTTATTTACTTGTAGCAAATAAGGAAACATGGGATTCATATAAAAACCTCTGTCTCCTCAAAGGGAGGCTTCGCCATACCTTACACTATTTGGTCAATTACATGTTGGTTTATTCTTTGCAGTTGGCTACAGTAATACTGCTGAGTTCTTGCCAAGATCATCCTGTTTACAGCTGGACTGGTATATTTGAATATTTAGCAAGAGCAGCATTGAGTAAGAATGGCCCAGATTTTAAGACTTTTGTCCTCTCTAACAACATAAGCGAGAACTTTGGCTCTCTGAGTTTGGCCTGGCTTCTGCCAATGGGAAGTGCAAACAGGAGATCTCTTCTGGGTAGAAAAGCAAGGTTGGGGTATTTGTCTTCCTGCCTCTCACCCAGCAAGGCCATCTCTGACCAGCTGCAACCCTAAGCCAAAAATCACACCTCCTCTACTCAACTCTTTTTCTGGGTTCCTGTTATCTTCACCCCTTTACGGTTAGGGTGCTATTTCCTCACTGTTGCCAGCAGTCTCCCCTGTCACTTGCATACCCTGTGTGCACATCTTGTAGGAAACCCTTGCACTTGACTCTCAACCAAGTTCCTAATTAGAGTGGGCCATCTCTGCTGCTAGAATCCTGATTGATAATTCTTCACAATACCCACCGTCTTTTCTCTTTCAGACATACACTGACCATTATTAATGTTTCTTTTGAAAATCCCCTCTAGTGTTTCCTGACACCAGACTACCTCTCCTGACAGCTGAAATCTGTGTCATTGCCCAAGCAGAATGTTTTGTGTTCATACCTGATGAGTCCATTAATGTATCATCTTTGCTTAATCATATGAGAATACCAGTCAACTTCCTGAGTGATCAGACCCCCAGATCAAGAGATTTGCAAAGTCAGTGGTTTGGGTCATGTTGTTCTGAGTGGAAAATGCTATCCCTGGTTTTGGGAATTGGTGTCTTAACCTGTGTTTTCACTTGTGATTGTATTGTTGCTATGGCATATGGGAGAGCAGCCACCAAAGAGCCATTTCCATGCTTTTGAAGCCCCTTGCTGACCTCTCAGGGCACATTGCATAAGAAGGGAGTGGCATATGAAATTGTGAAAGCCGGTCACCATGGATGAGTATTGGTGACAGACGGACAAGAGTCTCAAGTCTGAGCAGTTCTTACTAAATGCTAAAATGTGGCACAATATTTTGCAGAGGAGCTCTAGTGGATGAACTTGACCTGAATGACTACTGATGAGTTTAGCCAGCTACAAAGAAAAAAATCAACATATAATTAATCAAACCATGTATATAGGCAATGGCTAAGCCTACCTTAGGGAAGTAGAGCTTTGAAAAATATTCCCCTGTCTCCTTTACTTGTTACAACTGAAAATAAAACTTTTTTCCCACCAAGACTGTGTTCCTTTGAACCCATTGTGTCCTGTTACACTGGGGAAGGTCATGGAGAAGATGTGACCTCCAGTTGACCCGAAGCCTGGACCAAATGGGCTTTCAGTTTGCCTTTTCCCTCCCAGGAGCTGCGTCAAGGACACAGCCTTGAGATAGTAATGTGTTGTTGAGACCATCAGGATGACGTACCTGACTCAGCCCAGCTACATAATTTTTTCAAATCTGGCAGGCAAGTGCAGAGAAGATTTGTCTTTGGGCCACCCAAGACAAGCCATGTAAGTAAATTTCTTAGCTTATTAAACTACCACCTACCCATCTGCCATGGCCTGCTTCTCTTTTGAATCTTTCCCTACCCTCTGTATGGGGGCTAGTTTCAGATTAAAACTCCCAGGAGTTTTGGAACCAACATGTGATTTTAAACAGTAGTCTCATCTATGTTTTTAAGCAAATATAAAAAATGAAGTATCTGAAAAATGAAGGCTCTCCAACATCCCCTGAGGGGTCCTGGATTGTGAGAAGGTGCAGGCCAGGCCGAGGGACATCACTGGCTCACAATTGGGTCAGGGGAGGGACCGCAGGAGGGCTCCAGGGTGTGTCTGGCCCATCTCACAGAGTCCCCATCAGGGCTGGCCAGCCAGGGAGGGAGCCCAGCAGGTTGGCCAGTCTGAGAGGGACTGTGGGAGGAATCCAGGCCATGTCCAGCTCATCTCGCCCAGTCCCCATTGAATAGACCCCAGAAGGAAGCTAACCTACTGGTCACAGCATCTGCCCTATGGTGGTCAGTGAGCATCATAGTGACTGGTCGAACAGTCAAAGGTTGGACGGATAATTAGCATATGA